AAAAAAAAACGCACATCACCAACTAAAGCTGTGGTGGGTGGATTATAAAATTAATATAAATTCAGTGTTATAAAGAGCTCCAGAGAAGGCTAGACTAATTGTGCTCAGGGAAAATGGTTGGTAGAGATGGCATTTGAATAAGGCCTTAGAAAGTGTATAATATTTCAACAGGAAGAGGGTGTTAGAGAAGTGCATTGCACATGGAAGGAACAGCTTTAGCACAGGCACAAAGGCAAGAGAGTATAGGTGAATTAAGAAAACTTCAAGTGATCTGGTCTGGCTGAAGGACAGGCTATGTGAGGTGAAGTAACAGAAAACTGTTCTGGAAAAGTATGCTGTGGCCAGTTCTTAACATAAAAAGAGGGAGCAAATGTAGAAAGCTAGATTTTAGAAATAGGAAAAATGACTTTTAAAAGATACCCTTTCCTAATAATGTTTCACATCATACCTTAGATTTTTAGAGTGAGAATATTTTACTAGAAAATTTATTTGCAAACTAGGCGCAGTAACTTTAAAGAAAACTAACCTGGCTGCTGGAAAAAATGTTTTTCTGAGCTGGCAAATTCTTGCCTGCAGCTTTAATATTACCCACATCTTGTGATTATTTCATTAACTCTCTTTTCTCATCACCAAAACACCCTCTTAAAATTTAACTCATTAAGAGCATACTGAGTGGCTACTCTAGAACTAGTACTTGCTCACTTATTTACCCATCCTCTCCTTTTCTGCTCCAACTTGTCCCTGCTAACCACTCACTCATTCTTCTCCTATGAACTATATCAATAATAATAACATGAATAGCTACTACTTGTTGAGTGTTTGCTATAGTGCCAGGCACTGCAATTAATGCTTTATGAACAGTATTTAATATAATCCTCAAAACAACACTATGAAATAGGTATTATTATCCCTATTTTACGAGTGAGGAAACAAGCTCAGAGATGTTAAATATTTTTCCAGCTGGTAAGTGGCAGAACCTGGGTTTAAACCAGATCTACTTCACTCCAGTGCCTTTGCTTTTTACCACTTCACTGTACTTTCTCTAGTACCCTTTGACCTCTTACTGATATGGATCAGTATTTTCAATTTAAAAATAAAACATTCATCAAGCACCTGCTACTATAAAATCTTGTTTTAGTTGCTGTAAGAGATACACAAATAAATGAGAGAATGCCTGTAGATTACTGATGCTCATGATCTCCCATATATGAGTATAAACAGCTATGTCATTATCAGTTTGCAAGATGGTGTGTCCATGATTCATAAATTAGAGCAACTAAGGTCAGAGGGGGTGAAAATGGCTTAATATGAATGTTGAATGGTGACCACATCTATTCACAAACAGAAATCAGCCAACCCTGACTAAATGACCTAAAATGAGAATTTTAATAATACATTTCAATCAGAGTCTGTAAAAATTCTCTCTGCTGATGAAAAATCTGTCCTGTCAGAAGTTCCCAACCAAGTCTGCTTATAATCCATTTTCAATGAACCTTAGCTTCCTTTGAAGTAGAATAAGCTACCAGAGAATTTAGCCAACAATAAGCACATTGTGAAGCCAGTCCTTATGAAATCCATTACTGATGAGTAAAGTTATTTGGTTAGAACACAAGTGTGACATCAAACTACTTGTACCATGTAGCTGAATGTTATGGAAAATTATAGACAGCTAATTAGATACAGAAAAATAATTCAAAAGTCATCTGTTTAAGCTATCTACTTTTAATATTGCCTTTACTAACTTCTGAATGTTTTTGCTTAATATTTTAAAGAGAGTTTTCCAAATAACTGTAACAGTTACAAATATGTAAGATATTGGGTCAGATATTGTTCAACAGTCCTCTTTAGGCTACAACTATTTGTACCCCAGGGAACATCTGGAGGGACTCACAAGTTTGGATTCAGTCTGCCTACTCTTCTCTCTCTACAAAGGTATGGTATTTGTATCACAAATCGCACAACCAAGACTCACTAAACGATTGCAGTGGCAAATACTAACTGCATTTACTGTGCAATCTAAACTCCTAGCACAATGAATTTTTAAGAAAACAAAAGTTAACAAAGAGAAATAATTTTAAGAGTTCAAGAGTGGCAAAAGAGAGAGCGAGACACGTTGGTTATTAAGTAGGAACACCAGGCTATATAACAACAATGACACTAACACTTACTGCTCAATTCGGGGTGACAAGTACAGCTTGGGGTACACCTGGGTTCCTAGCACAATGAATTTTTAAGAAAACAAAAGTTAATAAAGAGAAATAATTTTAAGAGTTCAAGAGTGGCAAAAGAGAGAGCGAGACACGTTGGTTATTAAGTAGGAACACCAGGCTATATAACATCAATGACACTAACACTTACTGCTCAATTCGGGGTGACAAGTACAGCTTGGGGTACACCTGGGTAGCTTCAGTGTCCTCAAAACTGACAGAAAGGAGGGCCACATCTTCTCCAGGGTCTTCATTTACATCCTTAAGTAGGAAATAAAAAACACAGCATCATCAGCACCTGCTCTCATAACATCTTAGTGATGAGCTCACAGTTCAATGACATTGAAGCCATGTCTGTAAGTATCTTTTCTCCAACTTAGTGGCTAAGCACATCCTTTGCCACATACCTAATCATTTCTCTAGAGTGATGGCTTTCAAACTTTCTGACCAAAGCCCACCATAGCAAGGCAAAAGACTCCACCTAGTTCACTTGTCCCCACATTCTGGGTCAGCGGGGAGTGAATCTGGTGGTAACAAAGAGTTAGATAAAAACATGGTTAACAAACTGCAGCAAACATATTGCTATGAACATGATTTAAATCTTAAAACACCAACAAAACATTAAAATACCCAGTAATTTTATTATACCTACTTTGAAAGTAAGTTGTAAGTTATTTAAATAGCAAAAATTTGCAGGAAACATATTACAATGAAGTGTGTCACCATACAAGCAAATGGCAGAGAGGTTAGGTACACATCTACCTTAGCAAAACTCACATGTGAACCACAATACATACATATCTGAAAAGTCCAGTTATAAGAACATTATAAGACAAAAACGTTGTTGATCCAAGTATGTGCCAATAAATTCTAAGGTTAACCAAATAACCTACAATAAACTAAATTGATAATGATAAAACTAAACTTACTGTAATTTATAATTAAAATGAAGAATAGCAGCAACTGAATATCGTAACCAACTCAAGCCAAAACTGATGATACACTGATGAAGTCTCCTAAATCAAAATTGTGGAATTATAACTATGTACACGTGCTTTACGATTATTGCCAAGCACCAAGTGTCTGCCAGACTTCTGAATAAAATACTGAATTAGAATAAATCTAGTACCATGTTGATCTTAATTTATGAATACCAAGTTTCAGTAACCCTTAATAATTTATTTTTGGTTGCTAGTGGCTCCAAGTCAAATATAAAATTTTAAAATACTTAATAGTCACCTGTAGGGGCTGGTAAGAACTGACCTATATTTCTGGATCAGTTCATAGGAGGGCTCTGTGGCTATTCCAGGGGGATCCCAACCTAGACTTTAAGAATCACTGCCCATGAGCATACAATGCCCCTGAGCTACGATGTCCTTCATCTGTCTAAAACTAACCCGACCCCTTCTTT